GAGGACTGCAGCATGGAACCTAGTTTATTGTCCTTATTTGGAGCTGAACTGGACCTCAGACAGGAACACAAGTAATAAGAGGGGAATTAAAACAATCATAAAGCTGTGGTCCTTCAAACACATGTTCCCAAAATTAACATCATTTACATAAGTTATCACATTAATTCCACATCACTATCTATTGCCCACAAAATGAAAGCCCATAAACCTCTGACTATCTCTAGCCTGAGGGACTTTTTCATCTGTGCACCCTGGGACAAACTAAACCTGACATGGTTCTGAATTAATTACTCCTCTGTAGCTCTTCTCACCACCTTTTTCATGAAGACAAATGCTAGTGTTTACAGGATCAAGTTCTTAATTGAGAGTGTTCACTGCCAACTCATGCAGTTACCACACAGAGACTGCCTGTATTACATTATATTAACAAAGTCAGAGATACTATGTCAAAATATTTTAATCATACTTCAAGAAGCAAAACATTATGAATGCCACATATTGCCACCATCCTGAGATTGTGCTTTGCTGCAATGAAACCAATTGTCAGGAGTTTCAGAACTTCCCAAATAAATGTTATTTTGTATTTTAAAAAATGATTACTCAAAATTCAGAAATGTAGCAGTCATTGTGTGAAAAAAACCACTTATTTTTCTTCCCAATTGTAAAATATTTCTCTATTGTAATAATGCAATTTAATGCTCACAGAATCACACGAGATCAAATCCAACACTGAACTGCTGAGATACACACAAATTGCCTCCTTAGGATCATCACCTGGAATTAAAACAATAAAATATGTTACTGATATTTTTTGTAGAGTAGAAAAATGGCTTGTTATATTAAAAAAAAAACAAAACACAAAAGCTTAGTGTTCTGTGCATGCGTTCTACCTTTTTGCATCTGCTTTTTCATCCTTATTTCAGACTGGGAATCTATGACATTTATTGTACAGTACTGAAAGCTTACAAAATTCCTCTGGGAAAGCTGGACTGCTAGGGATTGATCTAGCTTTAGCATCAGCTCTTTCTGAAGGAGGACTTCTTCATTTGAATATTCCCAGAACTGCTCACACTTACCCCACTGGAACCACCTTCTTCAGGCTTCCAAAGATAACCAAGGCTGGGTCTAACCAGTATCTTCATGGGATGCATCCACTGCTAACCTGAATATGGGTATGTACTAAATTATATTATCTAATAATATTTTTAAATAGTTAGAAATTGAAATTATTCTGTTTCTTAAACAGGTTCATTCTGCTGTGGAAAAAAAAAACAAAACAACAAAACTTTTCTACATCTGTAAACACTTTTTCATTTGATTTGACAACTAACAGATACTATAATTTTATTTAATCTGTATTTTTCTATGCTGGCAGGTTTAACTAAACCAGAAGCAACTAATCTCCAGTTGTTCCATTACTGACATTATTCTTACTTAACACTTAAACTTAGCGGCTGAACAGATGAGCAAAGTGTGTGCTAAAAAGCCATACTGCATGGGTACCAAAGCAGAACACCCTTTTTTCAGCTTTGTATAAATCAAATAATTTCATAGTGGATAATATTTTCCCAAGTCAAGGATAGGCTGAAATTTGGCTGCCTGACAGGAATCCAGAGGTGTCTTCATTTTCAAAATGTGGTGCCATCTTTCTCAAGGTAATTACAAGTGAATTGTGGGGCAGTACATATTTCTCTAGCTACACTGAGACACCACAAGCATAAAACAAATACAGCACAATTTAAGCTCATGTTGATATCCCACTGTTATAAATAGTTTATTTATAACAATTATATTTATAAATAGGTTATTTATAACAGTATTTATCAGTTATTTGGATTGCAGTTACTTTTAAGATTAAAAAATAGATGACATGCTGGCAGAGTCTGGAACAAAATTATTCTCTTTGATGTTAATTCCTGAGCAAGTAAGTAAGCAGCCCCCTGGCTTTTCAGGATGCTGTCCCGCTAGCTCCACCTTGAGTGGGGGCTGCACTGCTGCTCCCTCTGTCAGAAATAGATAGCTTTTCATTATCTGGTAAAAAGCCGAGACCAAATTTTTCCTTTCCAGGTAAGACATACTCACACTCCCTCGAAGGTCCAGCAGTTCTTACTCCCTAACTACCAGCACAACTCTGCTCAAGCTCTCCTCCTTCAGTCTTTCTGCTGGGATGACTGAGCACCATTCTCTTTATCAGGCTCAGGGAGTCTCAGTTTCATTCTTTCTTTCTATATTCTTTTCTGTTGACTGACTCCTCTGAGCAGCTGCTTACTGCTGCTGTGCTCTATGTCAAAGCAACACATACTCATCTTCCCTGGTGTCTCTTTCTAGCAAACAGAAAACCTGATGGATTCCTGGTCAGACAAAACTTGCCTTTTAACCAGGCTTCTGGGCAGTCAAATATTTGCCACTGATTAATTTATCATTTGACAATTTCATAATCAGATTTTTCTGTTTATTTTTAAATATGAATCAGGCCATTATCCCTCCTTGAACCTATGTTTACTTGAAGCTAATGGCATGTCCTTCAGGCTTATCAGGTTAAACCAATGAACAAACAAGACTCCTTCTGCTGCAGGGCCATAGCAAAAATTATTTGGTAATTGAATACAAAATAATAGAGATCATTATTTTAATTAATTTCAAGATTTCACTGATGCCTCATTTTCCATTTTACCATCTGTGATAGGTATGCATCTACTTTAGCAAAGACATGCACATCTGTTGAGCATAATCATAAATGTACAGAGGTGGATATTAGGGCAGATGGAGTTTCCCAGAGTGTTTAGCACCAGCTCTACAGGGCTCTCACAAGGGATAATGGTTTTTAATGAAAAGAGGGTAGATTTAGACTAGACATAAGCAAGAAAATTTTTACAATGAGGGGAGTGAAACACTGAAACAGCTCAGGGAGGTGGTAGGTGCCTCGTGCCCGGAAACATTCAAGGTCAGGCTGGACTGGGCTTTAAACAACATGATCTAGTTGAAGATGTCCCTGCTCACTGCTGGGTGGTTGGACAGGTCTCTTTCAACCCAAACTATTCTATTATTCTATGATTATAGCATTTCAATTATCTCAGTTATTACTATAGTTCATAATACTAGCAGACTAGTAGCTCATACTGAAAAAAAATAATTTCTTTGGTTTTAAAAGCCTTTTATCTTTGTAAATATAAGTAACTAACATAGTGGAGAAAACTCTTAGGGCAGAACTTTTCCTTCTGGTTGTTTTTTTCTTTACAGCTTATTTTGCAAGTTTGGCCACAGGAATGATTTTCAGGCTGTCAAGCATGGACAGCATTTAATTAACCCATACAGATGCTTAAACAATTCTGTGGCTTCTGTCTGCTTCTCTCTAGATTAAATATTTATAAGGAGCTGTCTTTCATTTTCATAGCTGGTGTAGTTACTACAATTAAAGTTACACTGTATGTCTCTGGCGATTTATATTATGGGAAGAATAAATACAATGGAAACTGCAGAGTATGAATAGCTTAGCCACTAAGAAAAATACATTATGTATTTCTTAACCTTTCAAATATGCTGCATCTTTTTACATGCACAAAAGAATACCTAAGCCACACGAAATTGCATACACCTACACCTTCTCCTTGGTAATCTGTCATGGACTAGGAAAATGGACTCACTAAATCGTTTCTAGGTTTCTTCTCATGTGTTTTATATTATTCTAATAATATATGAAAGAAGCTTATTTTTCCATTTCTTCAAATAAACTGAAACTGAACAAAATAGTGTCTTGGTACTAGTAATCTGCTAGTTAAAACTTAGCAGCCTCTCACAATGAACCAAGTGTGAACATATCTTTGACAGCATGTTTTCCAAATACCATCAAAGGATATTTTCAAATACATTTCAGAACCTAGCCAGAAACAAAAAAGCCTTTAGCTTTTGAACTTCAAATTTCTGACTTGAACAAGATAATGCTATTTTAATTTATTTTACTTCAGTAATACAGTCATGACATTACATCAGTCCCATTAAAGCATACTGTATATGATGGTAATTCTACCATACATTTCACTTACATTTCACTTATATTAACTTGAAACCCATAGTAAAAACAAAGTTCTGTGAACGGCAAATCTATATTGTGACAGTATTGTGAGTTGGGGAATTTCTGAGTTAGCTTAAAAGATGAAGCAGCATTTATATACATGTCTTATGCATTTCAACAGCATGCAGACAGATCTTTTCAAAGTAATCTGTAATCTGTCCATGGTAAATTGCCTCAAGGTTGGAGACCAGATTGTGCTGCACTTCTCTGAGGTAGCGCACAGAAGGTAGAGGTCTGAGGGGGATGGGACAGTTAGAAACGATAGAGTAAAAGGAGTGACACTTCATCCTATATTTGTAACTCCCAGATGCTGAGCTGCCTCAAGGTAAAATCCTCAGTGAGATCTGCTGTAGTGTATGGCAGCTTCCTTACTGCTGTCCACAAGCTGTTCCGCAGCCCAGGGCTGGGAGAGAATGCTGCTCAAAACTTACCTAACAGGAGGGAACAAGAGCACATGTGCATGCTGCTCCTTCAGAGAGCAATCCTGATCCTTACATTGAACTCTGTACACATTTGAAAAGACTGTGCCAGGATTAAGTGTCTTCTCTTGCAGATCATAGTATGGGACTGCCTTTAATAAAGCAATTCACAAAGGAGGCTTGTTCGTGGGAACTGATACAAAACCAAACATAGGTTGGTAGAGACCCACAGCTGAGATAAGGAGACACTATCAACTGACTGTGAATTATGGGGATAATGTGTATTTAGCTATGCCCCCCATCTAGAGTTCACAATTATAAAATATTTTGAAACTCTGTGGTACATTTTATTTATTCAGAGGACTCCAACTTCTCACTTATTTATGGTCATAGCTTTCACTGCATGTAAGGTAGACATGTCTCTCTAAGGAAGGTGCACACTGTTCACAGAACTTCCCTTGACACAATACTTAAAGACATTTTATGTAGTAAGAATGTGACCTACCTTTTTAGTCTGATTCACATTTACCAAACTGCAACTTCAAAATGCCTTTGCCGTGAAGCTGGAGGATCTGGTTATATTCTTTGGGCATTGCATGGAAACCTGGTTTGGGCAGTTGGTTGTCGTAATAGTGGTGGCTGATTGGCATATTCTCTGTGGATTTTGAGAAAGGCCAGAAGCCATAGAGCTTCACATTCTCACACAGCTCAAGAGCAGCACTAGTGATCATAAAACCAGATGACAACCTGTAGGCCTTCACACCCTTAGTTCTCCAAAACTGGGCAAGACTTTTCAGATAAGCAGGGTGAAAAAATATTGCCCTTTGGGTTGCTTTGAACTCTTGCAGAGTGTGATATACTTTGAAAGAAGTGGCTGTGTTGCTTCTGAAGGAAAATGCTGGCAATAAAAGTAAAGCATCTCCATAGACTGCAATGTTCTCCAGAAATTCTGTCTTTTTCTCATTTAGTTTGTTGTATCTGCAAAGTACAACGTTTTAGGAAGAGAATGAATGGAATGTTCTATCGATAGAAATATTACAGACCAAACCAGCACAACTTCACTTGCATGTGTGAGTTATGAACTCTGTTGCTACAGATCAGCATTGTTGTCTACATTGCAAATTTATACCAACCTGTTACATGGTGTCACATGTGCAGATATGAAAATCTGGCTTTACTGTATAGTGATCATAGGATTGAATGGATGGAAGCTACTGATGGGAGGTACTGAAGCAGATGAGATTCACTGCTAATGAGACCAGGCTTTGTTTACAGAATTGATTGATTCAAGAAATTTCAAAGGAGAATTAAAAAAAAAATTGAATTTATACTCTCTCTGCTTAAAAATAAATGTATTAGGATATATATGGCATGTGTTTGTGAAATGTGTTTCTTACATCGATAGGTATACAGTAACCTCTTCAAAATCTGGGTGTCTGCCCTGTGTGGAAATACAAGTATGCATGTAAGCAGTCTTGGGATTGTTACGCATTTGTGTGTGCTTTTGATATACTTTTAAAATAGTTGAAAATATAAGCATGTCTATCTCCTTTGACTGCAATGGGAACATGTGGAGATCTGTAAAGAATTAGAGATCTAGCTTCACACAAATTAAGAGGATTTATCCTCAGACGCTCAGCAGCAAAGACACCTCGTTTTCACCATTGAATAATTCTGTGGTCTCAAACATTAAACAACTTCCAGAGTTATCCAAGAAGTAATACAAGACACGATCTCTGTAGATCTGAATTGTCTGAATGACCTGAACATATGGCACTGGCACACCCTTTGGGATTCAAAATATTGAGTCCTCTGTTGTAGGTAGCTGTCTATCTGAGCAGTGTCTTTTCACCTTTTAAGGGCTACCAGAGCTACCATTTTGACAAATGGCTCCAGCAGAAACTTGAAAACCTGGTTTCATTTCTCTTGACAACTTCAGTACATTCAGACTCTCTTCTCAAGCAGATTTCAAGACAGAGGACAGCAGCCACTTCCATTTCCATTCAAAACCCTCAAGGAGGAGTTAATCAATTACCTCTTGCACAACTGAATTCATGCAAGGAGTGATACACCCCTTTGCAGCTTGAAGTGGTTTAAGCTTACAGTTCCTGCTTCCCAGGAAAGTGCCACTAGCACCAGACTGAAACACAGAATGAGAGAGACTCAGGCCCTCCTTTTGACCTTGGGACTCTGTGCATGCCAGAGTTGCACAGCCAAAAGAGGCAAGAAATGCCTGGGCCAGTGTCTAGGAAGAATGGCTGAAGGGTGAACTTCTGGCCTCTATTTCAACAATTTTCTCTTTCTACTCAGCGTAAAGTGCATTAAAATCCCTCGAGACAGAATTCAGATCTCTGTTCTCCCTTGCCTATAAACCTGAACAAGTCAATCTCATCTTGTTTTCCTTCCCAGCTCTACTAGTGCAAGGCACAGCATAGCCCAGCTCCACTGGGACACGAAGGAACTGTGCTTCTTTCCTGCAAGAGAGCTCACCTATGTTGTACACCCTGACAGACACCATTCAAAAGCTGATTAACCTCAACCATAGTAACATCAGACTAACCCATTACCCAGACACAGAATTAGAAACTAAAGTGAATAAAATCAGAATAGGTCTTCTGAGAGAAGAAACAAACTTAGTTCTGCTAAATGGTGCTAACTTCCTTCCTGCTCCCCCTTCAGAAACATTTTTACAGTATTCTCTGAAGATCTGAATATTTACTTAAAATCCTAAAGTCTTTCCATAATGTCATTTTGTCCTTACACAGGTTTAGCTCCTATTTCCTTCAGTGTAACTCCCATTGAACCTGGTGTAGCTTAATTTGGCTAAAAAATGAGTGCAGCTGTTGCAGAACATTTTGATCAAGCCCAGACAAATCATGCATCAGGCCAGTAGTCACCAACGATGCTGAGTCACTGGACAAAGGTTTCCTTCCTCATATTCTTACGCAGCCCCGCTAATATCAATGAGCTAAGTCTGTTTTTGGGAAGCAATAATTCATCTTCATTTAAGTCAAAAAGGGCTAGCTAAGCAAGTCCTATCCTTGAATCAATGGCAAATGCCTGTTAGTCTTTTCTGTGCCCAGTGTACTTTTTTCCTTTTTCTTTTAATGGGAAAAAAAAAAAAAAGCTTTGCCTGATGTTGTCTATTTGACAAATACAGATATGACAGACAATATGATACAGTGAAATCAGTAAGCAGTAAATAACATGTCAGAGCAGTCCTTTTCATAGATAAGCTGCAGTTCTAGCCTGCTGCAGATGTCAGATTAGTCAGCCTGGCCTTATTAGATTTTCTTTTCATCAAGAAGGTGAAAAAAAAATATTTCTGAGAAAAAAAGTGTGTGAGCAGCTTTTGCATGGATTGAGAAAATGGATTGCAGAAATTAGGCCTCCATTAAGAATAGCCTTCATCAGAACAGCTTCTAAGCACATTACTTAAGCACATGTGCTTACAGTCCTACTGACAGTGTTGGAAACACATTTACAAAGCTCTCCTGAGTTATAGTTACAATTCCTTTCCTATGTTGGGTGTCATGGGGGGGAAAAGGAAAGTCTTGGGCTTGCAGTCATCAGTCTTACTCTTGTCATAAATTGGGGACTAGCGCCTACTGAGACACTTGGCAATCTGGGTATTGCTGCCTCCTTTCTGCCACAGAAAGGGCCAGATTTCACATTAAGAATGGTAGATATTTTACATGGAAACTAAGGTTTAATGAAGTAATCAGCATGCACTGCTCTCTATGCTGGTATCCCAATGGATTTCCAAAACAATCTAAATCATGTCAATTATACAATATTGCACAGAAAGAGATTTGCAGCAGTACTTACTTCTGAGCTATGATACTCGGATTAACAGTCACAAGGTTTGTTTTATTGCCAACATCTTTGCTGATGCTTCCTGTGGTTGGAGGAAGGTTACACCTGTGATTGAGAAACATTTACTTAAGCAGATGTGCACCAGAAATGCTTTACAGTTATTACTCGCAAATTCCTCTCTTGTGCAATGACACTTTCACACCAGTTCCCAGGGAGCTCTAAGCACTTTACAGATATTAAATAAGGCTTACAGCACTTCTAGTAAAAATATTTAATCTGCTGTACAGATGGTTAAAATAGGGCACAGAGAGCTCATTTTCATAAATCATCTCACAAATTAGAAGCAAAGTTAAAATCCCATAAGGAGTCAGTCTATGAATGCCCTATGCTAGCTGCTAGGGAAGTTTGCCCTCTTGCCTGAACAAGGCATTTCTTCTGAAAGTCTTCCATTATTTTCTGCTAGAAAACAGTCCAATTAATACCAGTCTCTTAGCTTGCACAGTAATTTTGACAGCTGTTTCATGAGACAACAGCATAAGTTGCCCAACTGCAGAAACAGTGATTTCTGTAACAGGCAAAGAAAAAAAAAAATTTAAGTCAGTCACTTAGTAGATTTAGTATCCTTTGTTAACGCAGTTATCTAACCGGAAAGACCTGGATTTTGTTTGGTTTGGGTTTGTTCAGTTTTGTGGTTTTTTTTGTTTGTTTGTTAATTTGAAAAGCCTAAATATTAGTCAAAAGCAGGAAAGGAAACAAAACCCATCTGCATGATTGGACATCACTGACAGAGAAGAGCCCTCACTTGGTTACTCTGTTCCCTTGCAGGGACTATAAACTGTGGGTCATGTACTAAATTGGTCAGATTACATTCCAAGTATACCTGGTTTTCTACAATTTTTATAGAGTGAACTGAAAAAGAACTACTTAGGATTAGATGCCTAGTTTTTAAGAGGGCTAACAGAGGGTGACACAAATACCAGGGCAGTTAAATATCTGCATTAGCAAGCCAACATAAAGGTAAGAAAACCCTTTGTTAAACCAGATGTAAAGGAAACATACAACATTCAATATCACTCCTTATTTCAGTGTCAGGGTTTTCTTTCTTCTCTTCTGATTAACAAAAACAAACAAACAAACAACCCAAACAAATAAACATAAAAATTCCCTCTCTTAAAGGACATTATATGAACAGAAACTTCAGGTTCTTACATAATCATGTTTCACATCACTGGCAAAGAATCTTTGCAATCATAGATGATACAGGTATGCATATACTCCTCGCTTTACTTCAGAAGCAGCATTCTGATATCTACACAGCAGGAGTATCCTTACAGAGTCAGAAATGCAGCATTGTCAAGATCCTTCCTCACTGCTACAAACTGGCATTGGCATGCTTCCAAGCCTGCCAAGTTTTTAGAAACATTGGACACCCTTGGTAAAATGAAGCAGCTCTTACCTAAACACAAAGTCAGAACGATCGATTTCGGCTCCGCAGCTGGAATTTTTCAGAATGCCTCCATTTCCAACCACAGCACAGGTCTTGAAAGGATAGGCTGAAAGAGGAGAGGACTGCAAACAAATAAAAAGATACAACCAATGCCTTATAAATTTATTTATTTATATTTTTTTTTCATCTTTAGCAATTTGTCCTTGCAGGCTTAATCTAGTACATCCCAGTGAAAGCATTCAGCATTTAGCAGACAGGGTTGCCAGGCCTGGACAGCCATGAACCAAGAACAGGCACCAAGAGACTGAGAACTGCTACTTCTGTCATCAGTACATTGAGGGAGTAACACTGGATTGTGAAAACTGGATGCATATCTTTTAAATGCAACTAATACAAAAATTACCTAGCAGTGGCCTGAATCCTTGACAAGCTAAAGAACTGACTTCTACTGAAGAGAGTTTAAATTTGCCCATTTTCTTTTGAACTGTAAAAAACAGGAGGTTGTCATATAGTCATTGACTTTGTCAGCTAACAGGAGTAAAATGCTCGTTAATTTGTCATCACACAAGTACATTTGATGTAAAATAAGAAATTTAGGGGAACGTAAAGATACTGTAAAGGACAATCATGTGTCCTCGCTCAACTCCCGGTGACTGTGATAGTGCACTGAAGAGGCTGCCATTTCTGGCTGATCAGCCTCTCTATTCCTCTTCCTGTTAGAGGCTGCTGTTGCAGTGGGGAAGCTGAATGGGAGCTAAATGCATCCACTTGTGGACCAGCACAGATCATAACCTAGCAAATTAATATAAATTGTTGGCTATTTCAGCTGATATTAATATAGTTGGCTGTTATCCCAGGGTCTCAGAAACATCTCATACAGCTTCTCCTGTGGAAGCCCTGCCACAGAACAGAGGCCAACAGCTGGCCTACTTTCATTGGAGAAACTGAACTGACTTGTAAAATTGAATCAAATCTTGGTTACAGAAAGCATTAACCTTCCTCCTCTTATCAGCCTGCCCAAATAGAAGCAGGAAGGGAGACTGCTATGAAGAAGGCAAAACATCACAGAATCTCAGAATCCGAGGGGTTGGAAGGGACCTCGAAAGACCATCTAGTCCAAGCCCCCTGTCAGAGCAGGGTCACCTAGAGCACATCACACAGGAACGTGTCCAGGCAGGTTTTGAATGTCTCCAGTGAAGGATACTCCACAATCTCTCTGGGCAGCCTGTTCCAGTGCTCTGTCACTCTCACAGTAAAAAAGTGGGGAAAGTGTCAGACACCATGTTGTCTAGCAATATATCACAAAACAGCATGTTCAAGCATTTTGTTCAATTCTGAAAAAGCAGTGGGAAAACACAAATGCCAGGCAACTCTGGCCAGCTTAACAAGTATATATGCACATAAAATATACTACTTTTTTCTGTCTGTTCAGTTTAAATTTGGAACCCCTGTGACCTCTATTGCAATTAAGTTTGTAGTGATTCACAGTAGCATTAGAAAGGACTAGATCCAGGCAGCTGGGATATCACAAATCAAGAATGCCTAAGACAGGTAAGAGGGTTCCCATGTGCTCTTACCTTCAAAAAAATAAGTATATGTCTGTTTCCCTCTTTGTCTGGTTTCCAGAGTTTGTATGTCTGAGCTACAAAACCTGACTCCTTTGCTGAAGCTGTTTCTGGCTGCAAGGGCTCCACTCCAGTAAGCAACAAAGCTGGTGAAAGGACTGGAAGGAATGTCCTATGAGGAGTGACTAAGGACTTTAGGTTTGTCTAGTTTGGAGGAAAAGGAAGCTGAAGGGCAACCTCATTACTCTCTACAGCTTCCCGAGGAGGAGAAGTGGAGAAGGAGGTGTTGAGCTCTTCTCCCTGAGATCCAGTGATAAGACATGTGGGAATGGTTCAAAGTAGCATCAGGGGAGGTTTAGGCTGGATATTAGGAAGAATTTCTTTACTGAGAGGACAGTCAAACACTGGAACAGGCTTTCTAGAGAGATAGTAGATGCCATGAGCCTCACAGTATTTAAGAGGTATTTAGACAATGCTCTTAATAACATGCTTCAACTTTGGGTCAGCCCTGAATTGGTGAGGCAGTTGAACTAGATAATTGTTGTAGGTCCCTTCCAACTGAAATAGTACATTCTAGTCTAGTCTGGTCTAGTCTAGTCTAATCTAGTCTACTCTACATCAGATTTTCCTGCAAAATAGCCTTCAGAAGTCATATGCCCAAGCCTGCACTGGAAATTGCATGGGAATACAAGCAATATGAAATGTAGTTCCAATTGAAATGCCTTTGAAAATGAGAACGAGAAATGCAAGGGAATATTTTCAGAGGATTCAGCTGGCTATCCAGCCAGGTTGGAACTTGTGTTTGTAGCAACTCAACCTACTATCTGAACTATGATACCCTGTCCATGCCTCCACCACTGCAGTGGAAGGAAAAAAAGTATGTCTTACAAAGTGAATGAAAAAGAGCATATAGGGGGAAGTCTCTTCCAGAGGAATAAAACAAAGCAGCTCTAGTATTAACCCAAAATATAGATGATACTGCAATTATAATAACAGGCAAATATAGAGTTCTTACCACAGGCAGCATCTTAAAAATGTCCTCTGTAATGTGGATGGTCTTTTTACTGTCCACTTCATAACTCATGTTACTTCCCAGAGGGGTGTTGTTTTGAGAAGCAATAAAATTGTGAACTGCATCACAGCAGGAAGTTAATTCTGACCTGTGAAAAAATCAAACAAAACCTGCTCAAAGACAGGCAAATAAGTAGGACAGTGGTGGTAGAGAATTATATGAATGAAAACCAGCTCTAATTAACTAAGTAACAAAGTCTATATGAATGCTCTACAATGTCATTTCACTTGACTGGGTTTGCAGAGCAGGTCTGTTTTCACAGCAAATGCTCAAAAACTAATCAGACCAATAATTCATTTTCTTAGCCTGTTTTTCTCTCTTGGTCTCCCTTTCCCAACCAGAAGTCATCTTTTTCTTATTATTAATTGTTCAGATTATTATAGAAACACTAAAATACTTCAGTCCTCAAAGCTGTGATTTCAATCAACATAGAACCAGTGATTGTAAGGAACTAGAAGGCTAAAAAAAGTAAGAACCAAGGAGATTAAAGGAATCATGATGGGAAGTACTGGCTATAGTATTTAGTGAGCAGCTAGATTATTGTAAGACAATGAATTAGTAATTAATTTCTGCAACTGTTCAGCACAGTTTTCCTGTGCATGTTACCAAAGATATTAAATAAATTACATGACAACTTACAAATAAAGATGTATATCTTTGGGGTAGAAACACACAGCCTAGCTGCTCCCTGAAACACTGAGCCAAAGTCCTTCAATAGGTAAGAGTGCAAGGGATTCACTCATAGTTTATGGAGGCATGAAGGCTATCACCCATCTTCCAATTCTGGCTGTCTTCAAGTCTATAAAAATATTATGAGTGCAAACATCCTATATTATTAACAGTAAAGTGCAATGAAATGCTATAATTAATTTTGCTTTACAGAATGTAAAGCTGCCACTGCTCTCTGCTGCCACTGGATCAAATTTTCAGACTATAAGGCTGAAATATTCAGCCTTATATCATTATCCATCAACTGGTATGACACAGATATCTCATTGGCTAAGATACTAAAAGAACTCCTAAGAATTTAGGTAATAAAAATAATTGGTGACAGAATTGCTTGGAATTTTGAAGATAACACAGCATGGAAAAGATAGTAATTCCTGTCTCAATGCTCAAGGTTAATTCTCAAGGAAAAAAAAAAGAAATATACTTACAGATAGAGCCAGGGGAATAGAAATGTCTTATTTTGTAAGTTTACAGTGAGTATGGTAAATTAAACCATTGGAACTACTTAGAAAATGCAGGCCAAATTCTGGCTGAAAGTAAGCTGATTTTAATGGGGTAAGACACGGGTAAGAGAAGTCACTTCTTTTGACTTTTATCTATGATATATACAGAGGAAATATTATAATAATAACATAATTTCCTTTCTGATGGAGATGAGGCATAGCCTAGCACATGGAAGAATCCACGGATTATGCTTCCTGGTAGACAGGGTAGAGAATGAACTGTTTCTGGGATAACTCCCAATCTCACTTCTCTTGAAATAATGGTCAAAACTGGGGGAAAAAGGTTTGGAAGATTAGTTTTATTCATACATAAAATACCAAAGGAAAGGGTACCATTTCAGTTGCCAGGTGGCTTCCTTGTATATATTAACCTGTTTTGAATACTGAGCTCTGAAACTCCTTAAAGTTTCCAGATGTGTGAGGAACACTCGGAACGACTGAGTACTGGGATGACATGGATGTGAAATACTCATACTAGGAGAGTTACCAGGAAATGTTAATGGTAAATATTCCTCCTGAAGGAGGAAGCAGTAGGGTTCAGATTTCCACAAGCCGTATTCACCTCCAATCCCTGAACACGGTGATGTCACAGGGCACCACCAAGCCTCATTACCCCTGCCCAGCCCCCTGAGGCTGCACCCATCCTCCCCATGGACCAGGACCCCATTCCAGCTCCCCAAGACCAAATGTTCCTGCCTCAGTGACAGTGCAGAAGGGCCAATCTCCAGCTGTGCCCATCGCATCCCCAGGGAGATGCCCAATGCCCAGGGCTAGGGCTGTCCCCATCCTGGCCTGGCTCTGCTCTGCTGGTCAGGTCATTGCCCTGGGATCCCACTCCCTGTCCCCTTGGAGCAGCCATCCCTCACTGTTCACTGCAATCCCATGGAGATGAGGAATCACAAAAAACGTAATTTTTATTTCCTTGATTTTTCTTTCTTAAAGTTAAATGAAGCAGGCCTAAATATATCTGTGTCAACCATAGGTTGTTCAGAGGAGAAGGAATAATGCCAGAATATTCTTGCCCAGCTTTAGTAAAACAGCTGTTTTGTGTGTGATGGCTACCAGAACCTGAAAAGTAAACTGATGATAGATAACATTCACTAATACAGATTATATGTTTTTGCTCTTTATTACTCATTCCACAGGAACAAGTGCTTCAATAAAGGCAGAAATAGCCTGGAAGAAAAACAGGCATCAGAATTAATAACAAAGCAATAGCTTAAGTTAATATTATGGATCTATAGAGGAAGTAAAACAAAGCCAAGCTAGTTCAGAAACACAGTGAGAACAAGAGAATACATATTGACTAAGTATATATGTTACATAAGAGCATAAGTGCTAAAAATTTGGAGCTAACAACAGAAACCTCTTACTTAGATCAAATCATGACACAGAATATCACTGTGCCCAAGCACCCATGTACAGATCTCCAGTGGGAAAGCAGACAGAGATACCCACTGGCAATTCCTTCAGAGAGCTGTTCATGCAGGGTTTTGTACAAGCTGCGACACACAGCACCTCTACAACTGACAGCAAACAATGAGGAAGGGGTAGAGGCTGGGCAATTCAAGGCACCTATTACTGCAACCATCATGACGTTCGATGCCAGTGCATGAGCACCAGGGGCCTGGGGCATTCTTCATTGCTGAGGACAGTGTGAAATATTTCACTGTCATTATACATTGGACTAAATCAGGTGGGAGGAGCAGAAAAGTAGATGGAGATGGACACTGCAGAAGTATCAAAATATGCAAAACAATTGTTTTAAATAGTACATGCTCAACTGTCCTTTAAGGCCATGGTGAGGAGGATGAGGAAAACCATCTTAATTCATACTATAGAAAGCTTAAATTCAGTATTAGGAAGCACACTGAAACAGCTCTCCTAAACAAGGTGCAGAATTTCAACAGCTAGAGACTGTTAATAGATACCTGGCCAAATTTATTCCAGTTATGTTCCAAGTCCATTTGATTCTAAGCTATCTTTTGCAAACATCTGTGCAAGTGAATGCTTGTTTGCAAAAAGAACATGGTATCAGTTCTGTTATGAAGCACTTGCACATTATGCACACTGGCAATGCTTACACAGATCTATCTTTGTGGATGTTCAGTTGGCCAACACACATAAATACCACATAAAAGGGACAACAAAACACAAAAGTGAGGCTAGCAAATATCTAAATCCTGTAAGTCTGATGCCTAGTGTATTTCAGAGCCCAATTTGTAATATCATTTGAAGAAAAGGCAAACTATTCAAAGCAACAGAAGAAGTCTATGCTTGCCTAATAGCTTGTTTTAACAATTCACCTAGCTTAGGTTTTTGTAATCATTAGTTCATGTGAACTATTGTACTGTACATGTGAAGACAACAAAGACTTGGAGGTTTCATATCAAACAGACTGTAATGACAGTACAAAGAAGAACCCACAAAAAAATCCACTATATAACAGCAAAATTTCAAGGCTGCAACTACAAACAGCGAGAATACCTTTTATCTATGTCCACTGCTCCAGTATTTTATAATAAGCAAGCAATTACTTTATTGTCCTGCACTAGGGGTTCTAGACAATGTTATGGCTTTCTCCAGGCTTCTGTCAATCCATGTCGATATCATCAAAGTGCAATGAGGCACATAATGACGTATCCCAGTCTTTTAGAAAAGAGGTGAAATCTGGTATCTGAAACAGAATGCATTGAAGTGGAATGCCACACTGACAGACCTTGAACTGTCTATAAATGAAGTAACATCATAAATGTCTAAGACAATGAAAGCCAACAGGGTTGAATATGAAATCAAAGCTGAATATGTAAAGATGTAATAAAATTTTCAAGCCAAGTTCTATTTAAAGAGTCTGCCATGAAGACATAATTAACTCAGTCTGATCCAAAGTCAGGTTCCTCTTGTAGGAATCCTTCAGCTTTTAGGAAAGTATACAGAGCAATTAAAAGATTCAACTGTTTCTCCAAACTGTCACCAAATACTGCCTCTCCACCCAGCCTTTTTCTCTTCTGAAACAAAAATGTGTCTCTGAATATATACTCCTGATTTTACATATGATCTATTAAATCTATGCAGCAAATGTACTCTTACCCCATAATCTCAGAGTTCTGTATATTTCCTTGTGTACTGAAATACCAGATTGCAGAGAGTGCAATGGAATTACTGATCTGTTTAGTGTTAGGAAAGCTATTGATTATGTGGTGGTGTGAGCTTATGTAAGCATAAATTCACCTTGCAGGGTATTTTATTTGTATTTTAACTGTGGTTCATGGCAGTACACGGATGGGTTAAGCAATACTGTTATATATGTTAGAGTGTAGCACACTATAAATTAATCTCTTTAAGAAGGAGTGGGATTTTATGATCTGCAGGAATGTTTAACATGTACATTTCAGAAGAGATATTAAAGTGGAAAAAGGGTAATAGAGGTCAAGTGGAATAAAAAGCAGGAGAGAAAATTATAATAGTAGGAAAATGGGTTGATCTTTTAGCTATTCTTTTCAAGACCCATAGTTCTTTTTTTAAAGTAGAAATGTTTTATTTTTTAAAAGGTAAAGATATTTTGGTGGGCTGGAGTAGTGTTGCCAGCTAAACTGCAGTGTAACATCAGGGGTTTTAAAACTGAGCCTTTCTCCATATTCTCCACATCCTCCTTCCCCACCTCCTCAGTCATTTTGAGGGCTGTTTTAGTTCTTTGTTACCTTCCAGCAAAAAAAGGAGTTGACAGTATTTGTAAAGCCTACAGACTATTTGCCACCATGGGTGTACAGCCCAAATGAGAATAAATGAAGCTTAAAAGTCTGTAAACCAAAAAGATGTGGAGGTGAAAAAACAATTACAGCTTGCACCCAATTGGGCTCTGTAATTTGTTGCACTAATGAAACATTTATTTTAAGATGAAAACCTTTGAAAAAAGCTAATATAATAATTAATATTCAGGTTACCTAGGGAACCTGAGACTCTACTGTCTGTAGCTAGACGTAGCTAGAAGAGCCTTTGCAGAGGAAGCTACTCAGCACAGCCTTTTTTCTGGAGCTTTAAGAATGATGCTTCTAGGCAGCTGTGAGATTGTTTTTCCACTCCCCTTCCAAGTTTGTACCAAACCTATCTTATAACCAAGAAACCCAAAGGCTTGCTTTGCCTAGAACAAGTCAAAGATGATGTAAATCTGAAAATGGAGGAAAAATTCAGGTGGACATAGAAACAAAGAGATAATGTAGAGCCATAAAGAACAGGAGAAAGAAAAAAGGAACAAAAGAAACACAGCTGAACTCCATAAAGGGAAGGTCTAAAAAATACTTAAAAGAGCTCCCTATATGTTAGTAGCAGTAAATGTTGGAGAATAATTTCCTTAAATCACTGTTAGTAGGATGCCATTTACACCATTTCTTGTGTAGGTACATCACCTTTGCTAGCACCTACTGTGAAGCTAGATAAAACCTCTTTAGCAATAGCTGTCAAACACTAGTGTGAGGCATGATAAGTTTTATCTAGACTGTATGAGCAATGAACCAACTGCTTGCACTTGTTCCTCTGGGGGAAACCTAAATCTGGCAGTGCTGATGTCAGCTTTACAGGTGCTGAAATAAATGAAGGGCCAGAAGACTGGTTCCCTACAGAGGCAGGACAAAAATCAGCTAGAGAAGAGTGACTGTGGAGATGGGAGGTATTCAAGTGAACATGATGGCTCGTACTTGCCTCATGACTCTTGATTTTGAGGAACACATAGGTAAACATCATGTAGCTGTCAAGAACCACTGCTAACTCCCAGAGAGTAACCTAACCAAGTGCATGTGAGGGTGCATAGTAGAGTAGCTTTAGAGAAAGCCATTTAGAAAAGGGCAGCTCTCTGACAACAGATGGACACAGTTTGCAGAGCTGCATGGTGAAGCTGAGCAAGCTAGCAGAGGGTCAATCTAGAATCCCGCACTCTCTTTCTCATGTAACTGGTTGGCAAAAAGACAGTGGTTTGTGCCATGCATGGCTGGCAGCTGTAACCCTTCTGCCAAATAAAAAGGCAAGTATTTCTTTCCCGCATTGCACTTCTAATTAATATTCTTTTATTTGGCCTGGATCTGCTGGGAGTGAGGCTTACAAAAGAAACTGTGTACTCATTGGCACACACTGCTGTCTTCTAGGAACATAAGAGTTACTGGCTCAGATCACATATTCATTCATTCCACTACCACTATGATGGTAGCCAGCAGCAAATGCTGCAAAGGAAAACACAAGAAAGCTTCTTTGAGAAAGTCACTACCACACAGGAAGCTGCTTTTGAACCTTATTAATTTGAAGTTGGTTTATGCCCTGAAGCATAAGGCATTAAATCCCTTATAAATATGCATGCCTGTACTTCAAAACTGCAGGATAATACAGAGATGTCATACAACTGACACTACGCTTGAGATGCATGTAAGTGTTCACTCCATTTAATAGATGGGCAAAAGGGGAAAGAAGTGAGGCAGCTTCTCTGCAGTCCAGTCAGCAGGCAGACTTCTGGTGGCACTAGCAGGTGAATAATACAACACACACAGCTTCAAGCTCTCCTCCTGAAGGTGGCTAGCTGTATTACCCAATTCTTTTTTTTTCTGAGATTAATTTCCTCTTCTGCAAAATGGGAGTACCTACTTAATGAGATTTTTAGAACTGAGTAACACTTGTATTACACAAGTATTACACCTCACTGACACTAGCCAAAGTTAGAAAATAGACGAGATGTACCGCCAATGGATTATTAATTCATTTATTTCACCACATTTCTAGAAGCTTTGCTCCCCATAGAGCTCTATCGATGGATCATTTCTCAGCTAGAGTGTCCTTGTAAAGCTAGTTCCAGGCTCTTGTGCTTAAGTTTGATAAACAAGTTTGTGAGTGCTGCAACCGTGGAGTGTATACAGATTAGTCAGTAAATTTTATACTGAACGTGTTTTTATCTCTTTTTTTTTTTTTAAAGCCTCTATTGACCCACTGCTAAGAGCCTTCAAGTCCCCTGTATAGTCTGGGAGCAACAACAACTGTAAAATTTTAATATCCTATTTCCAGAAAACAACAGAGAGAAAAGTTTGAGAGAATGGAAGAAAGGAAAGACTCAGGCCAAAGGAACAGACCTTTTGTAAAATAACAATCCACAATGCCCTAAACTGAATTAGCAGTCCTTGGTCAGATCAATAGAATTTTTGTTTGATATCAAAGCAGATCAAGTATCATAGGGACAGAAGAATATACACTACTGTCATCAAAATCGCGGCATGGGTCGTATACATATGAACTAGCTAATACTCTAGCTAGTCTGGATGTTAAAAAGCAATGAAACTTATAACAGCACAACCCTTGAATGTCAATTAAATAATAAGAGTTTGTCCAGCCTGTGCTGAACCACAGGTTTCAAAATATTTTTTTTTGCTTGGTATTTAAGGCAAGTTAAAGCTAACAAGTTCACCTCAATGCATGTAAAGCCCATATTCTCTAGGTGGCTTACTGCACCCCAAAGTTTCCATATTTTTTTTAGTATTTCCAGCCTGGTCACTGGTTGTATAACCCACCTTATCTACTTAGGATCCACAATCCTTGCTGGAAGGCAAAGACAGCATAAGGAACAGTAAGCAGCTGTTACGTGAAGTCCAACAGTCTTATATGACAGTTTAGATAGAGAGTGTCATGTTTGATTCCCATGGGCCTAGAAGATATTGAAGTTGGCCTAGCATAAGGGAGATTGCAGAAGCAATAAATGAAGAAGTAAAACAGGAACAAGGAATGCTTACTCTGCCACTGACTCCTAGCACAGAACAAAGTGACAAACTGCTGGTAAGTGGTGGATGGTCCGTTCAGAAGTAAGAGAACTTAAAAGAGATCGGAAAACAAAACCCTAAACGTAGCAGGGTGAAGAGCAGATTAGAGCAGCTGCATCTCTTGCCAACTCTGTATAAGATACCTTCCTGTTCTCAAACATAATAGGCTGCATCTGCAGCTCCTTATCATACTTTGATATCTCTCTATGCACAGCTAAAGCCTGTCTGAATTAATTGAAAGTTTCTTAAACCTTAACTCTGTGTGTTCTTCTGCCTTAGTTTTGTGAAACACATTTAGTCAGTTATGATACACAGCAAGCGCAGCAATTTATGTTGCACAAAGCACTTTACCCCAGAAAAGATACTTCTTCCAAGGGTATCATGCTGGGCATGTGGATATTAAGTTTTCAATGCTAGTTAACTCCAAAGATTTGGATGATAAATCAGTTTATTTATTTTTATTGATCATGATAGAATCCTTAATTCTGATGCATGTCATAAGAGAATATTTACCCCTGGAGAAAATAGGGTTGGCACAGTGAAGCTGTTCTCTAAACCCAGCATGACACATCCAAACAAGAGAGGAAGCTTTTCAGGGAACACTGTCCCTACTGAGCATGTACTTATGTGCCACCCTGAACTAGGACAGATGTAATCAAGTGCTTCCATGCTCAGGGTCCATGACACACAGCATCAAACCTAATGAGTGCCTTGGGCACTTCTGTAATAGAAGCAATAGTCTTGGGGTATGACGTACACTTTTTCATTACACAGTCTTTTACCAGAGTGGCAGTTGTGATGGACAAAATCACATTACTGATTTTTTTAACACTGTAAGTTTTGTGCCAGGAATATTTTAACTCATTCTACTTCAGTGAGTTAACTACTCATTGTGGTAGAGATAGGGGAAATTACTTCATTTGTGGAGTTGTTTAATCCTACTCAGTTTGCACAGTTCAATTCAAATAAACACGAAGAACCCCAGCATCAAAAGATTAATAGAAACATATAGCTACAAATGCCATTTAAATGCAATACAAAATTATATTTTCAAAATGAAAGATTAACATTTATGGTTTGTTTGAAAAATATGGAGTAAACAGTTTTTCTGAATGAGACAATGAAAATTACCTGAATTTTGTGGATTCTTCTGGCCTCCTTATCCAGGTGCAGTTCTGCAGTCTTGTGACTATGTGAAGATAATAATCTTCTGAATATCTAAAAAAGGCAACAGCATCAAACACTAGAATATATTTGTATGTATATTTAGAATCAGTCTCTAAAACATTCAAATGATGCATGTATTAATAATAATGTGCATAGTGCATATATAATAGATTGCTTTTAGAACTCCATGACCTATTTTTGTAATTTGTAACAGTACTATCCTCATTTAATTAGTATGACCTATTAAGCATAACTTCTTTATAGTCTTGTCCTCATGAACTTCTCTTTTCAGAAACTTTCAACAGTACATTGGTTTCAGACTTAAATATTTGACCATTAATATCTTGAAGTTACTAGGAATCATCTCAAGTGCAAAAGTCCAATATAAAAAAAAAAATCCCCTTCCTTGTACTTGATGTTTTGAACTTAAAACAATGTTTTGAAATGTGGCTCTTTCAAACCAAGATGAACATTATGCTTCTTACACCTTTTATTTCGTGTACTATATAAAGTCCCCAAAGCT